CAATAAACAACATATCACATGTAAATTTTACTCTGGCATAAATATAAACTTGCTTGAATATTTGAGGTACTTATTTTCGTATTTCATCTAAATATTTCAACAAGCTATCTTTTGTGTTTGTTTTATCACCAGGTTTGCACATAAATTTCACAACTTATTAAGGCGAGAATGAAAAATGTTTACAAAGTATCACAATACAAGGTACAATAAAGTACAGTCAGAGACAATGCGGTGGCTTGAAACATACATCGAAGAAAATGAACGTTAATCAGATTTCCATTCTAGAACTGCAAACTTTCAACACCCGATCAGCAATTGTCAATAAGGACTATGTTCGATTACTACTAAGCCCACGTATATATTGTAGTTGCCGAGTAATCACAACTCAAGAATTCAGGTTCAGTGATTTACATGACGACTGTTTACTACCACTACATAGTTTCGATATTTATCGTCAGGATCCATCAAGCAATAAGAAAAAGTATGATGGCGGTGTAGCTTCATTTGTTAATGTGAATTGATATCAATCTAATTTTTGATAGTCCAAGCTTTCTAACGACTTTATAGACTGTTTTAATTTAAGGTCCAGTTAAAAAAACTTGAACAAATACAACTATGTTTATGCTACAAACATCTACATGATTCCCGACTGCACATCATTTGAACTATGTTTTTTATTGATGGGTTTATCGCGTTTGCTGTTACTGTCTTGAACGGTTCACTTTCAATTAAGTGGTATTTTAAATTCAAGCGATTTTCGCTTTCTTTCATTGCCAGGTTAGTTGATTTTCCTACTTGTTTGGATAGTCATCTAGACTTGAGCTATTATTATTATTCATGATAATAATAATAATATCGCAACATTTAGGCTCTATTCTAATTCAAATATCGACTAAAATTTGACTACAGACTAACAGAATCACTGATAAATAGAAACACCCTTAAATTAACATAATTTATTTTACAGAATTTGGTTCTAATTTTTATTTACTCACTTGATTTTGCAACCGTACATATTTACTGAACTTGGACTATACTTCATAACTGTATTTAAATTTTGAAATGTCTCTTAATCGATAGCTAACCTAAAGTAATTGGCATCATTGAAGACGGGTTTCATTATTATCTACGAAAAAATTACAACCAGGAATCATTTCATGGTTTAGAGGTGAACTTACACAGAACTTATAACTATTCAAATGAGGTATTTCTACCAATGTTTGACATCATAATTTTCAATTAATTGAGTATTAGCTAGATGGTTGATGATACAGTAATGATAATATTTGCGATACTATTTAAACTTTCTACTCATTGAGACATTACATAAATATCATTATTCAATTTAAATTTGTTTTAAGCAACTATGGCAGTTCAGTTTTAAGAATTTTATTTTATCAAGGACTATAAGCAAAATTTGATGATTTATTCGTCGGTTGTGAAATACCAACCTTCATTTCATGTTCAGTATTAGGAATATTATTCCATATCCATTATATTACTGGAAAAATGATGATATCTAAATGTTGTTAAAAACCACCGCGATAGAAATACTTAGCGTTTCAAAGTACCACAGTATTTTCTAAGAAGAAATGGTCGTCGAATGCTCCCAAGTTTTCCATAGTGGTCTAGCTTTAATTGACTTATGAACTCAACTATTAAATTTCCACAATCTCAACAAAAACTTCATTCTGATAATAATTTATTCAATCCACTTACCAAATAAATATTTCGATTTGTGCGGATTTTGTGGTATTGTGTGATCATTGGTAATTATTAGAACTCTACACAATACGCTACCTCGAAAGTTGTTGAAGTGACTTAAGAAACAATTGAATCTTTTTCATCAACAATCCTGCTCAATAAACTTTATGGTAAATACGTAGCCATTTTATGGAAAATTAATCACATATGTTTGAACTTTCTAGTGTTAGGGAACCATATGATAAGACTTACCATCCACTTCAAAGAACGAAACTAACATCTCAAAATCGTATGATTGTGATGCGCTTCCTGTTGTTTGAAAATAGGAGTTTAACCAACAGACTCGTTCAGCTCTAGAGCAGCTCTACTTTCTCCATGGATGTCTCCATCAACATGTTTCGTCAGGAAATTTTAGACACAGACCACTAACCAACTGTCGAAATGAAGGTTGTCACCATAAGCCATGAACCAGAATAACGATTTATATAATTTCCTTATAAATGAAATTTTATGTATGTAGTGGCCGGTGTTATGTCGAGCCACATAGCTTATTATAACTTCTAAACAAGTTTAACATAAGACTATGTAAGGTAATCTCATCGGACAAATACTTCTATCAAATAACAAATAAAATTGAAAACATGAGTAGGGGCAGAATCAGAAGTAAACTTATCATATTCATAATTACCTGTCATGGAGTTTAGTGACACAATCATGATACTCATATCTAAGCTTTTAGTCTCATTCCAATGTTATATAAATATTAGAATGATGAATCTTCAATTCTTATACGCTCTCTCTCCATCCCATATTTGGATGTATTTAAAAACATGTTTATAAATAAGGAAAACTCTTTGTGTTTATATGATCTATTTCCATTAGTTAATGAAACTCAACTTTTTTGTAGGAAACCAGTTTCAACTTGTTTTTACAGCAGAATTTCGAAATATTCAGATATTTTCATACTTGGCTTTTGATTGATAAATATGGTTCTAATTGTTATTCATAATATTTTCTTATAATAAAGTGCTAGCTAATAATGTACAGTATAATTATACGTTTTTTTTAATATACAGCTAATACTGTGTAATTTTTGGGAAAGTTTACAAACTATTTTAATTGAGATAGCATTCTTTAAACAGATATGAATTTTAACAGTTGAGATCATGAGTCAGCTGAAGTTAGACCATCATCGAAAACCTGAAAGCATTGGACGGCCATTTCGTCCTATTGTGGGTCTCCCAAGAGGTGGGCATCCACGATCCCCAGTGGAGTTCAACCAGGTCTGTTGTGAGATAGATAGATATTTACACCGTTTGATGCCGACTCAGTAGTTAAGCGTTCGTGCGCGAGACTAATAGGTTCTGGGTTCGAATCTCGCGTGGCGGGGTCGTTGATGCTGAGGAGTCTAACAATAGGACAAAACGGTCGTCCAGTGCTTTCGGGTTTTCTACGGTGGTCTAGCCTCAATTGACTCACGATCTCAACTATTAAAACTAGTATAATATCCACAAAATCCCTTCAGATATGAATTCATTCCTATTATTTAGCTTTATTTCTTTAAAAAAAACCTTTATTTTATATCATATTTACTCACTAACCATTATGGAGGGATCAATAATGTGAAATTCTATACCTTTTCATCTTTTCAATGACATTTAATATGTTTCCAGACATGAAGCTATAATTTAATTATATCACTTGTTTCAGAGTTAAACGTTTTGTTTAAACTTAATATATTCATTAATATATTCTTTAAATATCTAGAAAATGAGATACTGATTAATATGGTATATACAGAAAACACTTTACTAACTGTTAAGTAATATAATTGTGATCACGATTTAGAATAAGCGAACAATATTGTTTTCGATTAGATTCTCATCAGGCTTCACTCTAATGCACAGTAACATTTATATGCATATACAAAGTCATTAGACTAATCAAGGTAGTTTATGTGTCAATATTGTTCGCTTATCTATGATGTTCTAAATTTTGATTACATCAAATAGCTAGGTGAATAAGACAACTTGATATTTAAAATAACCCATAGTGTCAGTGAATATGAAAAAAGGAATTCGGCGAAAAAAATTTCCTTTTTGATGAACTCATTTATTTAAGCTGTACATTCGTATATATAGTTATATGGAAATTATATGTCTATAGAAGGATAGAAAAGATCGCATGATATGCATCATCTTCATATCTTTCAATTAGACTATTATCTGACTCATAAAGTATTTTCTTACTTACCCCTTGATTAGTACGCTACTTCATTTGATATTTAGTCTAGAATCACTTTACGACACAATCTTATCTATCCTTCTATAGACATACATTTTCCACATAACTATATATATATGAACTTGATATATATTGTTATCGAAATAAAATTATAATTTTCAATGATTGAGATTATGAGTCGATTGAAGCTAGACCACCATGGAAAACCTGGAAGCACTGGATAACCATTCCGTCTTATTGTAGGACTCTTCAGCAGTGAGCATCCATGATACCATCTCGCAATTTCAACCATTGAAATTACTATAATATCCACAAAAACCTTTCTAATATAAAAAAATTATATTTATGCAATAAGCATATCATCTTCAATGTTTCCGTTGATTTTTTCTATATCACACTTCACCATACCCATAATCACCATTATTTATTGATTATAATATATTTAATTTAAAAAAAGATACAACCAACAAAAAAGGAAAAAAAAGGTGTTAAGAAAAACATAGAATGTTCTAAATACAATAAAATTTATGTTTTCAAATAAATGTATCAAATTTCATTGCAATGAACTCATTTTAGTACCATTGCATAATGATTACAAAAGATGTTGTTCCTTTGTTTTTTTGATGTTTTTTGTGAAAAGATCTTTTTTGTATGTGTTACATTTTCAATTTTACATTGAACACTTTAATCAAAATTGAACAATAGAATAATTGATCATTTAATTTCATACTTTACATTGAAATATATATGCACAATTGAAATGTATCGAACAGAATAAGAATCCAATCAGATTAGATTTAAGAAAACTAATTTGTTGGACATTATATTACAATTGTATTGTCCCATTATTAAAATCATATGAATATACAAATGAACACTAAACACATATATCAACGTATATAATTTCAATTCATTATGTAATTTTAATTATATATAGATAGATAGATAGGATCAAACCAAATTTTGAATTGTTCAAATTGTACATTTAAAACAACAATAACAATTCTATATTCATTGGATATTATATCATCATTAAACTATTCAATAATAATATGTCAGATAATCGTAGTAAAAGTTTTAGTTTACCACATATTTGTAACTATGATGGATTAAGTACCTATTCATTAAATCAATTAAAATTGGATAAAAAAACAAAACAATCAGTTTATTATATTTGTCATATATGTATATTAAAAAGTAAACAAATGAATATAAATGATGAATTGACTAAAGATAAAGCAGAATATTTAATTGAAAATAATTTAAATAAACGTTTAGCTCATTGTAATTTATATTGTTTACAAGATCAAATACGTTTTGAAAAATCAAAACAATGCGGTTCAAATCCACCAAGAAAATTTATATTATATAAACATATTAAATGTATATATATCTCTGAAAGTAAACCATATACATTTATATTATGTATAGAATATGATAAAGCTAAATGTAAAATTTATGAAGTCTATAAATGTAAATTATCACAAGATGTTAAAATGCTTTATATTTTATTACAGAAAGCATTAAATGATAAAGAATTTTTATTAAGAGATGAATTAAAATGTCCAAAAGTATCTATTGGATTACAATGTTGTTTAATTTATGATAGAACTATGAATACTACTAGTAATATCAATCCTTCTACATATGAAAGTAATATTCATTATAATAATGAAAAATATATGAGTAATATTAAAAGACAATCATTATTACCAATGAATGAATCATTATCTAGAACTAAATTTACTGGTGTCACTACAAATATTTATGAAGAACATTCTAATGAATTGATTCAAAAACAAGCTATCACTTCAAATTCACTATCTAGATATTCTGATATTTCAATGGAATTATTACAAAAGTTGAATAGTGCCTATAATCCAGATGGTGAATATAACAATAATAATAGTAATAAAACCTGGCATAAATCGTTGGTATTATTACAGACGGATTATATAAGAGGTCCTCGAATCAATGACATTGGTCCTATTTATATGTTTGTAGCAAGACAACTGAAATAATCTCTGATGATTGAACTATTAACTAAACTGAACAGAATATATATTCACTAAACATGATTCTTTATTCAATTTTTTGTCTTTTTAAACTCTTCTGAATAAGCTTCAGTATGTTATGGTTTAATTTTACACAACTAATCTTGTAATACATTCCTAGCTGAATAATCAGTTTGTTTTTTTGTTGTTGTATTTTTCACCATTATTTCATAGCTACATATATTTATCACTGTTTCTTACCAACATTATTACGTAACCTAACTGTTTTATTTTTTTTGGTTTTCTAATATTAGCTATTCATTTATTTCTACATTTTGAAACATCTCAAATATGTAGCCAATTTAATGAATGATGTTTAGTAATTTAAACACTTTATTACTATTGTATTGAGTAATTATATAGATTAGTAAACTATTCAAGTCATTCTTTTTAATTACGTTTCATCTAATAGAAATCTATTTGTCAATAAGTTTGATCGATTTTGGAGTTGAAAAAGGATCCGTTTTTTTGGTTTTGTTTTTAAATAGTAAAATGTATTTTCTTTTCCCATAGTTTTCTTTTTGATTTACCACATTTTATTAAATAGACTTATTGGTTAAAGTTAATAAATGAAATTATAATCATCTCCATGACACTTAAATTATTTTTGTTCAATTTTTATGTCAGATTTTTGGTACTGAATGCCGATAAATCTTTAAGTAATAGAGAAATACTAAATTAGTAGTGATTAAATGTTTTCTGCTTGATGATAGATTCTAATGATTCTGGTGAGTTTTCATGAATAGTGAAGATAAGTGATGTCTAGAATGAAAAATATATCATTAGTGAAATGAGAATACTCATTGGCTATATCATAAACGTACTGAATTTGAACAATAGTTACAATGAAATTGTGAATGAGCATTTCACATGTTACATGTTGCTCAAAACAGGTAATTTACTAGTACAACTGTTTATATATTGCAAAATTTCCGCTTCATTTTTTTATCGGAGACGTTTATTCAATGATTTTGTATTTATTTAAGTGATTGTTGGAATGTTTGTGAAAATGAAACAGTTTGAGCTAAAAAAAGTACTGGTTTTATGATGTCAGTTGGTTTCAAATAAAAATCAAGCATAAAATAAAATACAGTTTGAACTATTGTTTTATAAAGATGATTTTACTTGATGATAGGGTTGGTTATATGTTATAATAATCGACAATGAATCTTTGATAGCCAGTGAACATTAGAGATCTGTTTCGTTTTGATTGAGAACTCTGGAGTAGTGTGGAACTTCAGCGTTATATATATATATACTGTAATTGAAGATTAGTGGTTTACAATTCAACTTCAGTGTTTCTGTCTGTGCTAAATAAGTTATTGAAAGTAATTCAGTATTCATATAAAAAGGAATTTAATTATTGATTGGGAGTGTTGTTCAAGTAAAAGATCATACAATATGGAAGAAACTATCATTAGGAATTTTTGTCATCATAATAAACTGTAAACTGAGTGAACGCAAAGTAAGCAAACATCACTTTTTGATAAGTCAAGTTTATTGGAAATAACATAGAGTAAGTCATTAAGTTGAACTAATTATGGGTTTTAAAACCTTATCTTAAGCAAATCTTTATATTTCGTTTTTATAATGTGAATTACATGCTCTAGGGAAAAGCAGCTAATCACATTGTATGTTTTAGAGCTCCAAAGCAGTGCCACGATTGAAAATTACTCGACAAAGCAGTGGTAATGCATTTTATTAATAATTAAATGTACCATGTTCTAACTTATGACACCGCAGATATATATATATATATATATATATATATATATATATATCAGTAATTCGATATTGATATGTCCTATTTAACAAGTCTAATTAAAGATTTGGAGTAAACAGTTGTTTTGTTCCAGTTTTGAAACTCTTCAACAACGGGTGTTCGTAAGAACTATAGATACACTTTGAAATCATTTTTATTGATTCACCAGCTAAAATAAACCCAAAACAAAGAATACTCTCAATTTTAACTAACATTCACAAAACTTCATACTTTGACAGTAACTATATTCATATATGTTGGTTAAGATAGTTTCACCAATTTTGTGAATGGATCATTTCGTAAAAGCTTATCAACAGAATTTATCATAACCTTATATAACGTTTCTTCGCACAATTAACTATCTACGACTATGAGTTTATGATAATTGTGATAATAGAAGACAAAGAAGTTCACTTGTGAAGTAAATGAATAAATTCTAGGGGTTACATTCATTTGGAAGTGATCAAAATGTGTTTCATAAATTAATTCTATTAAAAAGTATTGGAACAGTAAAAATGCAATCATGTGACATTATATACAGAAAAAACTATTTAGTGAAACTCTATCTCATTCGGAATAATTAAACGGTAATAATCATTATGATACAAAGATCATCACTGTTATCCAAATGATTGCTGAACTAAATGATTATTATACAATTTTTTAAAATTAATAACTAGAAAGCATTATTTCTAATTGTCTTGATTTATTTGTAAAACACACGCGACAGTAAAGAAGTATGATTTTTATTATTATGAAGAATTGAAAGTAAATGTGTGATCATAGATGAAAAATAGCATGTATTACCGTCTTTAAGTATATTATTCAAGAAATCATTAACTCATTCTTAGCTCTATTGTTAAAGAGATTAATCTATATGAAATTGTTGGTAATATTGAAGGTTATGTTAAAAATGGACAATCAGATCTAACCATACTGATTTATAAGTAGGTTTAAAGGTAGAAAAATCAATTTATTTATTTTGTTTTATTTGAACACATAAATATTGGTACAAGAGGACACCAAATATATACGCGCTACAACATTTCATTATATTTGTGTGTGGGCTGTGATACTGCCTGGGTGCCCAGACCGAAGCAGGTGGTTTTCTTAGGGGTCTACACCCCAAGCCTTCGACCTAAAGGTCTGATCCACAAGGAAGTGGAGCATCGTGAGGTGATGCAGTCCCATGGGAGCCGGTGACTAACAATTGGTTCATACTCCAAATGTTCCAGCAGAATACTGGAGCCCATGTGCACCAATGGTTTGGGGTCCGGTTAAAGCGCCGGACATCCGCTTTTCGTCCTCTAATTTCCGTAAACAAGGCAGTGAGTAAGACTTCTATGCCAGAGGCTGTATACGCGTTGCCATGTGAGAGCATTTCGAGAGAGAGGGAAGGCCCACCCCACTCTCGGACATACCAGGGCATTTGTGGCAGAAAAACCAATCATTATGACTTGTCAGACAATTAAAAATTTGATCACTGAAATGATTTTTTATATCATATATATATACAAATAAATTTTTGGTACACTTTAACAACACCAATGACTGACAGCGTAAAAATTGGCGTTGAATATGAAATTATCCTTTCGTTTAGTTTCTACATGTAAGACAGTGAGTGTAGTCTACTATTCCGTTTTTATTGTTGCGGAAAATGTTTATTTAATTAAACTTTATAGTTAATGTAATGGTATGAAAATACTTCTGGACTAGAATGTGTCACATCAATGCTGAAGTCCTATCGATAAGCCTATAGAGTTTGGAGTATCGATGGAACACAGATCATTTGAAAACTTGATAATGTAGTGAACGAGAATATAAGTGAGGACAACTGAATATATTTAGTTATAAAATTACATAACATCTTACTAAAATCTGAGAACCATACATTAAATACTTCATTTGCAAAATATCAATCAGATTTCACTCTTCTTACATCTCCACAGCAATCATTCATTATCCTCGATCTCTTTTCTCCAATCTTTTTAACCTTTTATCTCCAGTCATTTCACTTTCGATTAATGATACATACTGCTTATATCTGTCAACATCAGTAGCAAACAGTACAATAATAAATAGTTTCTCTAATACGTGACAAAATAATACAACTATTTTTAAATTGTCAAACAACTTTCTTATATATTTAATATAAATCATAAGATTTACATTCAATGGAAGTGTTCAAAAGTAATTACATTTAGGTACTTTTGTATTACCAATATGTACTTAATAAATGCCTTTGATGCAATTGTATGATCTAGTGTAATTTAATTCATTATTCCATAACTCAATAAAACATTTGATCATATGAGTTTTTTTTAAAAAAAAAAAATTAAAATCAATTTTTTAAAATGACATAAGTTAATGATTTAGAAGAAAAAAATAATTCATTAAAAAAGTACTTGAATCCACATGGTAACAAGTATACTCTTTGTTCTTTGTTAGAAACTTCGGTGAAATTTTTTAAAAAAAAGAAAAAAAATTACTTCATTTGATGAATATGATGATATGTTATTTGTTTCTTTTATGGTTAATTTGATATATGGTGATACATTAAAAAAAAAAAAAACAAGCACAATAGTAATTATCATATTTAATTGCTTAGTGATTAATGATTTTCCTGCTTACATTATAAAGTAGAATAAATCTATATATAGTTTAATTGATTGGTGACTTAATTTTATTCCATTATAGTGTATAAATCAATAAAGATGAGGAATGTGCTTAGAACTGGACCATTTATCACATTCATATATATATACTATATGATAGTTATTGATTACAGAAAACCAACTACGTTTAGAATGTATCGGAATTGTTTTGTTTGTTTTTTTCTTTTTTGTAATCGATTTATATCATCTTTACGTATGGTAAATAATATTTAAGTTATGTAAAAGTACTACAATGGATGAATAGATATGAAGAGAAATTTAGTAAAGAATTTGATTGATATATGACAATTTATCTAAATGAATCTTAATAGGTTCAAGCAATAGATGATGGAAGTTCTATAACGTCAAGTAAATGAATTTTCTAAAGAATTATATAGTTTCATACATTTACACTGAACTGTTCATCTTGAGGGTTCCAATTAGATGATAACTGATATACTTACAGATATCTTTAATAATTCTGTAAAAAAAGATCTGCATTAATAGATTTAATGGATTATTTCATCAAGTTCACTGATTGAATAACTACT